AGCTGTTGCTGCTGCTGCTGCTACTGTTGAAGCTGTTGCGGCTGCTGTTACTGCTGCCACTGCTGCTGCTATTGCAGCCGCTGCTGCTGCTGCTGCTGCAGCTGTTGCTGCTTCTGCTACTGCACCTGTTGGTGCTGCTGCAGCTGACTCTTTTGCTGCTGCTGCCGTTGCATTTGCTGCTGCTGCAGCAGTTTCTTTTCTGCGTATGCAAACAGCAGCAGCAGCAACGCCTTCAGCCGCACTAACACTGTCAGCAGCACGAGCAGGAGCAGCAGCACCTGCAGCAGCAGCAACTGCAGCAGTAGCAGCAGCAGCAACTGCAGCAGCAGCAGCAGCAGCAACTGCAGCAGCAGCAGTTCTCCTCCCCTTTTTTTTTCGCACGCGCTAAGCGAGAGTGTACATCCGCTGCAGTTGTTGTAGGGTTTAGAATCTAGGGTTTAGGGTTTAGGGTTTAGGGTTTGTGACCCCAGACAAAGTCTGCAACTGGTGCAGCAAAAACTGCAGCAGGAGCTGCGGCTGAGGTGTACAGACAGCAGACGAAAAGCAAGTAAGCAAACAAAGAAACAAATAGAGAAACAAACAAAAAAAAAAATAAATAAATAAATAAATATATAAACGAATACAGCATGCAAATGCATTCTGTTTCAGCTGTACGTACACCAGAAGCCTCAGCAAACGCATAACACAAAATATTACATAAACAAACACAAACAAACACACGAAAACAAACAGGCATCTAAAGTTGTTTATGGGGGGCCCCCAAGCAAAGAGAGACCTCATAAGGGCCCCCAATGGGCCTCAAGGGTACCTGGACGGGGCCCCCAAAAAAGACGCCGAGCAGCCTTCATGGGGGCCCCCATGGGGGTCTCCATGGGGCCCCTTAAGCGGGTATAGGTAGCCCATGGGGCCCCCCAAGGCACCCTTCCTGGGGGCCCCTCTGGGGGCCCCCATGGGGCCCCTTAAGAGGGTCTGGGTACTCCATGGGACCCCCCAAAGTGCGGCATAGCGGCCCTGTGAGTGGGGCCCCCTGGGGGCCCCCCTCAGGACCCCTATGGGGGGCCCTCATCAGGGCCCCCATGGGGGGCCCCCTTCAGGGCCCCTATGGGGGCCCCTAATGGGGGCCCCTGGGCATTGATTGCTAACAAGAAGGCACAGAAGTGGAGAAGAATTTCATATTTCATATTGCTTGAATTTATGTTATAAATATTTTTGTAGATATTTATAAATATTTTTGTAGAAAGAGTTTCATTGACAACAGAATAAATAAAAATAAATACACTCAGCTGAAATATCCCCCAGTAGAAATTTAGGGGGCCCCCGTAAGAGAGGAGATGTAGGGTTTGCCTTGGGGCCCCCAAAAGAAAGACCTAGCGGCATAGCGTGGAGCCTCTCAGGGGCCCCCCTTGGGGGCCCCCATGGGGTTCTATAGGGGCCCCCCTTGGTGGCCCCCATCGGGTTCTATAGGGGCCCCCGTTGGGGGCCCCCATCGGGTTCTATAGGGGCCCCCCTTGGGGGCCCCCATCGGGTTCTATAGGGGCCCCCCTTGGGGGCCCCCATCGGGTTCTATAGGGGCCCCCATAGGAAACTATTGGGGGCCCCGTTGAGAAGAAGGGTGTATGGGTTGCTGCTTCAGCTGCAGCGGGGAGGGGGGGGTGGATGGGTCTCTAAGGATGAAGTCAGAAATATCACAACGAACACCGAGCAGCAGCAGACAGAGAAAGTTTGCTGCAGATTGTTTTATAATATTTAAACAGCAGGTACTTGCTGCTGCTGCTGCTGCTGCTGCTGCTGCTGCTGCTGCCATTGCTGCTGCTCGTGATAGAATGTTTGCTGATGATGATTTCACAGGGTCACCGTTGATGCTGCTGCAGCTGCAGCGGTGTTAGTGTATGTGTTGCTGCTGCTGTTGTTGTTGCTGCTGCTGCTGCATGTATTAACTTTGCTCTTGTTTTTCTTTATGTTGTTCTTGCTGCTGCTGCTGCTGCATGTCTTTGCTGCTGCTGCTGCTCGATGCTGCTGCTGCTGTGGCTGCTGCGGCCTTAACCCCTTTCTGCTCTAAACCTGCAGTGTACGTACGATAGCTGCAGAATAGAAAAATTAAAAATATATTTATATATTTTTATTTATGTATATTATGTTTTTGCATAAGAAGAGAGATTTTAAGAAGAAAAACAGAAAAAAAAATCAGGAGGTTACAGGCGGTGAGACAGGGGGGTTGAGGCCCAGCTGTGTGTACACTACAGCAGGCCATCAGC